AAACCCCATCCTACCTGGCCTTGAACACTTCCAGGGAGGGGGCATCCAAAACTTCCCTGTTCCTGTGTCTTATCACCCTCATAGTGAAAAAATTCTTCCTTATGTCTAACCTGAATCTACCGTCTTCTGGTTTTCTCACTACATGCCCTTGCAAAAAAGCCCCTCCCCAGCTTTCCTGTAGCCCCTTCAGGTACTGGAAGGCTGCCATAAAGTCTCCCCAGAGCCTTCTCTGCTCCACGCTAAACAGCCCCAACTCTCTCAGCCTGTCTTCATAGCAGAGGTGCTCCAGCCCTTGGATCATCTTGGTGGCCCTTCTCTGGACTTGCTCCAACAGCTCCAGGTCTTTTGTGTGTTGGGGAAGGAGGTCCTTCCTGTCTTGGGGGAAAGATTTACAAGAGCTGTGTACTTTTTTTTTTTTCTGGAAGTTGAATATCACAGAAATACAACTTCAGCATTTATGACAACTTCCATTGAGCTTAAATATCTGGCAGAACCTGGGTTTAAAAGGAAGAAAACAAAAATTTTGTGCTACATGATGTTTTGAAGTTCCTGCTAGCAGGAATCTGAGACCATTTTTTGGCCATAAACAAATATTTTTTTAATTAAACCTCAGAAAAGCAAAGGAATGTGGATGAGGTTGTCCTCAGAGATGTCCTCAGGTAATGTATTTCTCTTAATCACTAGTAGGAGCTTCATAATCCAGAATGTTATTGTGAAGCAGAACAAAAATAAGCATCTAAAGTGTGTCCTGACCAATAGTCAGTTCTCAGTAATATTCTAGAAAAGATAATATAAAATTTTGAAAGTAAACATTTCAGATAACTCAGTTATGTTTTCAGGATTCAGGATTGATTTATGTTCATAAATAGTATTATAAGAACATTTGTTGTTGTTGTGTTTAGGATTCTGTATTCCTTTAGAAGGTGTAATATTTTATTAAATAAATTGAACAAATTAGGAAGAAATTAGAGCAATTGAAAATTACTATGAAGTAGGGATAAAAAATTCTCAAGAGATCTCCCTCTGGAAAAGAGGGCATGAATACATGTGATAAATATCCAAGTACACTACAACACAAGTTAGAAGAAGTTATGGATCACTTATCTACGGTTCTCAAAGAATATAGAACAAAGGTTATGAAGTGTCAGAACTCATCACCTCTTGTAACTCTTCTTACAGATAGATGCAGGTTTTGGTTTGGTACATATAGGTAAGTAAATGGATTTGGGTTATCTGTAAAATACTGGTGGACAGCCATGAGTGCAGTTCTGCAAAATAACCTTGGAGGAAGCAGAGAAGAAATTACTTTTAAAAACAAAGCAAATAAACCTAAAAAATTTGATAGTTTGTGTTTAAATATATGCTAGCTTGTGTTTTGGGTCAGTTACTGAATCTGCAAAAAGAGAACTCTGAATCAGGGAGTAGCATCCCCTAGTTACGAGATGCTAGTACAGAAGTTCAATTTGGTTCAACATCTTAGTCTTGTATTGTTAGTTCTTAGTGTTCCCTAATTTTGAGCTTTTTCATACATTTTCATTTATGCTGTCTTAAAGAGTTGCTGTGTGCGGATTTATTGTCATCTGTTAGTGCTGCTGCTGTCAAAATAATGGGATGTAGGACTTCAGGATTGTGTGTGCTGCCAGTAACTCCACTTCGGCCATGAGAGTTAAAAAGCCAAATAGGTAGGGTAGGATAAGTCCACTGCCTGTTATTAGGAAGCTGCAAGGCTTGTTTTCATCCATGTTATGTTTGCAATACTTTCTTTTGCACCCTTTCATTCATTCTGTGTTTTTGGAATATGCCACTTCATTTTTTAGTCTAATGAGGGCTGTCACCACCTCATGTTGACTTCTATTATTAGAAATATGGTTTACTTCCGCAGTCCTCAGCATTTTACAAGATGGAGTTAATGTTGTGATGATTGTTACTACGTTATTTTAACTCTGGAGTACTCAATGTCTGATTTTCCTTATCTTTTAGAGTGAAGACTGGAACGGCTAGAGGGAGGTGCACAGCTGCAGGTATGAACCAGCTACAGTTTGTATCCTGCAGTTGTGTATTGGAGCTTCCTTTCAGAGCTTTAGAGAGAAGCTGTTTTTACTTTCAGTGATGAAAGCGGTCATTTTCCAGTGCAGTGAGCAGTGTTCCTTGAACCCTAAACTCTTGGCAGTTTCTTGCCTTTGTACTTCTAAGAGGGTTGTGTTAACAACTTAGGACTGTGAGTACCAAGTCAATAGGCTTCTTTAGCTCTGTCTGTAATGTAATCATTTTAGAAACTAACTACGAAATAGAAATTAGTGTCTTCATATTAATTTCTTGAGCAGAATAATTCCCAAGTAGTCTGTATAGTACATGACCCCCAAAAGCTGAGTACTGGTGGAATAACTCTCTTTGGGCTGAGACAAATTTGATAATGAATAGCAGAATGGGAACATAGTCTAGTGTGGAAATGCTGGGAGCCAAATGCAGGGATCTTCTGATGCAATTTTCTTAATGCCTGATATCCGGTAAGGATGTAGTTTCATGAGACAGCTGAGACAATTCCCCCTTCCTCTGTTATTGTTGCCAACGAAGTAGTCCTCTGTCCTTGATTATTCTTGGTTCTTGTGATAGTCTGCCTGAATGGTAGACAAAGTCAGCTTGGCAACCAGATAAAAAGCTCTTTTGTGATAAAGTTATTATTTCTTTATTTTAGCAAGTTGGAATGATTTACTGTATTTCAGAGGAGTACCAAGATGATAGATCAGACTGTCCGTAACTGTGCTCCTTCAGAGTTTCAGTTCACTTTTGAGGACAGTTGACCTGTAACTGCTGTGTTAAGTAACATGGCTATGCTCAAAGTGTGGTCTTTGTTGCTTTTCTGATGAATCACCTTTGCTATGGCAGAAATATTTAAGGTGTGATTTAGTCTATAGGCAATCAGGGAGAATTGAATTTTTATATTTTCCTGAGGAAATACTTGTTTTTCTACTATGGTCAGACAGTTGCTACAGTTTTCGTAAGTACACTGGAAAAGATTTAGTCATGTCTATATCAGAAAGAAAATCACATTTGTCTTTAAAGTGCAGGATATCCTGTCTCTCAGTATGTTACTTATCAGGATAGAAAAAGCTGGTTGGATTAAGAAACCCAGGAACACCTTAATTTTCAAATTATTTTTAGAGAATAGGTGATTTGCCTCTGTGGAAGTACCAGTTTGAGCGCACTGATATCCATGCATTGTGGATGTTGTGAAACACTCTATTTCCTTCCTAAATTACTGATGCTCTGTACTTTGCCCTTTCTGCTCCTTTGATGCTCCATTAGCACCAAACAGAAGAGAGGAGAGAGAGAATACTGGTCATTATGTTTGTGGTTTTGTTTGGAGAGTTTGTATCTTTTGAGATAATCTGTGATTTGACCTAGTTCTTCAAACTGATGGGATTCTGCCAGTTACAAAGCACATGTTCAGAATCGGTAGATTTGGCTTGTTTAACAAAATAATCAGATTATTGAAATAGCGAAGTAATCATCAACTTTGTGGTTGTTGAAAATAAATAATGAAACAGAAGATTTCAATTTGGTGGAAGATCCATGATTTATTATCTGAAAAGCAACATAAAGTTGAATTCATCTATATTAATGTGAATGTAGAAAGGTGTCTAAATGAAAGAGAATTGAGTCTTGGACATCTGATACTGGTTTATTAAATTGTATGCGTCCCAGTATTGAATGCCTCTTCTGATTAATAACTCTATAAATTAACTCCACAGGGATATATAAAAATGAAACTGATGACATTCTGCTTCTGGACTTATACAGAAAATAGAACTGAGGAGTGGTCAGCTTTGCTTTTAAAGAAGAAATTAATCAGTATTTGCAATAACACTTGGTTTTGTTGCCCACTTTTCTAGTAGCTGGTGTCTTTTACCAGTAATATTTTTAAATAGAAAATATACCCTGAGACTCAATTGCTTCTTCTATTCAGAAATGTATATGCCACACTTTGCCGAAGCAGATTAAACAGTTATTGTTCTGTCAAATTTTTTTGTCATAAAAGTGTCTTGTAAGCAGTGACAGGTTCAAAATGGAGGAACTCCTACCTATGTGTTGACTCTTGTCATATTTGTATTCACCATTCTGATACTGTGCTGAAGGACAAACAGCCTTCAGATTCCTCTGAATAGGGAGCACTGTAGTGTTCATATTGTTCTCGCTGCCCTGCCCCTCATTTGTGGTGGTCCTGTTGTTTTCCTGAAGGGAAGCTCTAATTCAAACTCCACTGGAACACATCTGTAGGCATTGCAGATTATCTGTTTTTACCTGAAACATGTCTGTGTTCACATAAAATTTCTGCAGATCTGAGCCCCTTCCAAAATGGAAGTCTTTGACATGAAGATGCAAATGGACATTAAAAGATTCTAGGTTTGTCTACTTAGGAGGAACGTTAGTTCTTCTGCTGTAAGAGAAGTTTATTCTTCTTCAATACTTCTAAAGCTGTTTATGGTTCAGGAAAGTCAAAGTAAACTTTTTTGGTTATAGATTTGTTTGTTTGGAGAGACTGTTCTGGATCAGAGTAGTATTATTTCTTTCTGGGCTTAGCTCTTCCTGAAGTTGAAACCTGCTGTCTAATGATTACTTAGATCTAATTAATTTGGATTGGCATGGCTGCATTTTCTTAGCTAATTAAGAAAACTGAGGCATGTGTATGATACTGTTTCTATAATATTAACTGGTTCTCATTTGTATTTGTCACTGTTAGTAGAAACAATTCAAGATTAAAGCACTCCTCAAAATGGCTTACATGGCTGTTCTGAAGACTGCAAAGGATAATGAAACTTGAGACTTGTTGCTTTGTTTAGTCCAAGAGGTCTCTTGAAACTTAACAGGTTAAGAAAAAAAAAAAAGCCTCTGTCATTCTCTAGGAAGTTTTTTACCAGGTCTGACTGCTATTCTAAGACATTTCAGAAAGGAGAGGTTTTAAAATAATTTAATAATAGGAAGTTTGTTCCTTTGAGTTAAGATTGCACACCGTATTTCTTGAGAGGAAAAGAAAAGTAACTATCAGCAGTTCCTACTTTAAGGTTTTACTTTACACATGCACAAGGTATGTTGCTTGCAATAAACTGTAGTTAAAAGCATTTTTTATTCACTATAGTTCTTGTGTAGGGTAATAAAACAATCTTTCTATGTGATGTTGCCTTGGAATTGTATAGCTGGTTCTGTAGTCTCCCAACATACAACCACTGTGTAAATGTAGTTGCTTTGCCCACTTTAGTGCTTTGTGGCATGTTTGGCTTCAAGATAAGCAGACTGTTCAGAGCTTTCCAGGACCCAAAGAATTTCCAGTTCCTTAGCAGAATATTAACTTCTGTTTCAGAGGCAGAAAACTAACTTAAAATGTGTAGTTAATTTGTTAAAAGTTTTTCTATCAAATATTGCAGAGATGACAAAATGTTTGTTTTCAGCCTTTTTGACTAAGTAGAGAGGTGCAGACTCCTGTAATATAGGAAAATACAGCAAAACAGAGGCCTAATTGAAACCAGATTTCTAGGTCTTGTGTTTGTATTTACAGAGTTAAAAAGTTGAAAGAAATCTAAAGTATTCTTTTGCATAGAATTGCTTGCAGGGTTGTTTCTCAAACAAAAAGCTTGAAATACTCAAAGGTAAACTTCTGGCTAGTTTTAGGGAAAGCAAATATTAAAGAAATTAAAACAATATTTTTTTAAGCTCAGAGAACATTTCAGAAAAGAAGGATGTCAAAGGTGTAAGTGTACCTCTGCTTTCAGGGCATGATAGCTTGTAAGCATTGGTATTCTTACACTCTTCTACTGAAGATTTAAGGGTTGAAATGCAAATGGAATTTATCATACTTTGTGTGTGTCATGGTCTGAATTCAGTCAATGAACAGAAAAGGGTAAAAAAAACCCCAAACTCTTAAACATTGCTGCTACTTTAAATGTTCCATCCTGTCGTCTTTATTAGTTCTCTGTCCTTTCATAGAATAGAAATGCATGTCCTCACTTCTTATACTCTCATTTCCTGCCTTGTCTCCTGTTCTGTGTCATAATGCTGCCTTTATTTCCTCTTTCTATTGTTGTGACCAAGCCACTTTTCCTACTTTCTCAAAATTTTTTTCTTTTTACAGTGCCAAAGTGTCTACAGGTCTTTTAGATCTTTCTTAGGTACTTAAGATTTCTATGGTTTGTCTCTCACCAAATAAAAGCATTATGGTGTTTTAGCACTGTACTGATGAAAATTCAAATGTTTTCCAGACGACAGATGTTTAAAAAAATAATAATTTTTAGCTGAAATTTTCTTTTGCATACCTTCCTGTAGAGCTTAACCAGTATCTGAAATACACATCTATTTACAAAAAAGCACCCTAAACCAAACAATCCACAACCTACAGATAAGGATAAAAAGATTAAAACTTTTACAGTTGTTGTTGTTTTTAACATGTCTGTGTCTTCCTAGAATGAGAGGAAGTAACCTACAGCATTCTGCTTTAAAAGCAATTGCCCTGTAATTCATACATCAGCGTTTCTTCCTCATATTTATTATTAATTATAAAACATCTGGCAAAGAGGGATAAACGTGATGATTACTCCCTGTCTATGATTTGCTAGAATTAATTATTTTAGGGAGCCTGCATTTGAGGCTTGTTGTTAGCTGTTCTGTGTAGACAGATGCTCTAATAGGTTGTCATGCATTTATTGCTTCAAATACGTGACTTGGTCTTTTGTAGTTTGTTCATCTGCTCCTTTGCTTCCTATCTAATATATTTCATACTGTGTCTTTTCAGCCAGGCCTTTATTGCTGTCTTCTTTGCATCACCGTAAGTTTTACTGTGTTGTGGTTTTTTGGGATTTTTTTATATTCAGTACTACTTCAAAGAAGTAGCTGATGATGCTGTTATTTGTCTCCCTCTCTGTTCCCTTAGTCTGAAAAAAAAATATGAGGAAATATGCAAGATAAAGGAACAAAATTTAGCTGGGAAAGACAGAAATTCAATATGCATTTCAGATCACTATTCTGAAGG